TAGTGACCTTGTGGATGACCCTAATGCCCCACCGGTGAGTACATATCCCTCCCTCGCACCCACTACTAGTAGCTTAGGGTAGTAACCTAGATATCATCCTGATCATCCCTTGTACCCCTTAATAAACAACAGATGAGAATATGTGGACCACGTAGCACTTATGAAATGCATGAAGATATAGAAATATAAAGTTAAAGTGCTTGGGAACAGGGTTATTCAGGGCGAAAGCCCTTGGAATTAAATTCGGAAAAATTCGTCATACTAAGGTCGTGGGTTCGATTCCCAGCGAGGTAGGAAATTAATTTTTCCGAATTTAATTCCAAGGGCTTTCGCCCGGAATAACCTCGTTCCCAAGCACTTTAACTTATCTATATTTCTATATCTTCATTTATAGTACACTCAACAAAATTACTCGACTCTGATTGGTCGAGAGGAGTACAATTATAGCGTTAATTGTACTCCGTAGGAGTACCGAATTAAGTCACTATGGCAACACGGCCAAAACAATGTCAAAACAATTGTTTTCTATCATTTTGTACTTAAAAAACATAAAAATAAACTTTTAAAGCCGTAAGAACTAATCTTTTTTATGCATTTCAGTTGCGCGATGGACTGAAAATCGGCCGCCAAATAGACAAAGATGAACGGCATCGCTTCGCATTTTTTACTGAAATTTTGTTGAGTGAACTATAAACAAAAAATCGTACGATCTTCTCGTACAATTTGGAATCAATAGACACTCGTAATGTTTTGAAAGTTCTTTAATTGCACTCGCCTAAAGGCTCGTGCAATTACAAGAACTTTCAAAACATTACTCGTGTCTATCAATTTCCAAATTGTACTCGAGATTGTGCGATTTCCTATACTAATAAACAACAGATTTAATAGATATACCTGCCCATTACTTGCTTAGATCTGGTAGTGTACTCAGCATCGTCTTTTCCCCACCAGGACTGATAGATTTGGCAAATTCGTAACAATTAAGTTTACCACCGTTTGCATTACTACGCAGCCACCCCAAACACAAATCACGTCGTGTAGTTTGCAATAGACTGCCGTCAATCAAACACCTCATTCTATTTGGATGTACTCAAACTCTTTGCAATCGCTTTCGGAACTTTCCTTCGTGATATCTGACTGAGAAAGTTTGACAAAAAAGCCAACTCACTGATCCAAACGTGTATAAATGGCGTCAACATGAATGATTGACAGTAGTGTATTGCAAGCTACACGACTCGATTTGTGTCTGGGGTGGCCGCGTAGTAATGCAAACGACAGTAAGCCTGGGTAAATTATTATAATTATTATTATACGTATTTGTATTAGTGTCTAGCGCACTCAACCTGTAATTCAGTTGTTAAGACTGCAATAGGTTTGAATGAGCTATTTTTATTTATTACTAGAATACAACATTGCTAATAAGGGTAGTAACCTAGACTTTTACAGCCTTTAGTATTAAGTGACCTCGTCCATCCTGATCGTAAGCCATTTTCTTTTTTAATTACTTTTTCAGGTAAAACTGATCACATCCTTGGCCAAGCAGTTGGACAAATGTGCTTTACAGTCCCGATCTTTTCTGGTGGATCTTACCAACACATCACTAAATAAAAACTGCTTAGATGAGGTTAGCTAGCCGCATCATGCATTTTAATGGATCTTGTTATTGTTGACTATTTTCTTACATTTGTCACTATCGGAAAGTGTTTTGTGCCTTCACATACACTTTCAATTATTAACTAAAAAAAGTTAATATGGTTATAACCTGACAACAAGTAAACCTGGAAAGCCAAAGACTATAAACCAAAGATCACAATGAGCACGAAAAAATGACCTCAGACGTTGCTATGACAACATCAGAAGCCTTGCTATGCCATCAAAAATTTTCATTTAAATTTTCATAACTCAGGAACCAAATGGTGAATTTTTTTAAAAACCAGAATATTTAAACTTTGTATCGTACTCTTCTTTTTGGCAAAAAAAGAAAATAATCTGTAATAGGAATTTCGTAAAAATCAATAAAATTTGTTTGAAATAGTTACCTCTTACAGTATTTTTTATATTTTTCCTTAAGTTTTCGAAAACATAAACTAAAGCCATGTATTCAAAATTTGAAGAAATTTCACCACAGAGTCTTTGATTTTTTTCAGTTTGAATATTAAAAATTTATAGAGCGCGCGCGCTCAAAAATTACCGTTTCGAGCCTCCTTAATACATGTAGACCATTTCCGGCTATGCTTGAGTGTCCACCCAAACAATGGGTAGTTTTTCCAATGACATACAGAATTTCCGACCAACAAACTCGAATTTATAAGAGTTTTAGTAGTTTCAATTTTTTCTTAATGTACCTTTGGAGTGCATTGATTCTAAGACACACATTTTACAATTTCCAGCAATCGGGGTCTGTTCCATAGAGGTAGAACAATGAATTCCGGATCGCTGCGTTATAATTACTGATCTTATCGAAATCCATTGTTTTCAGTCTGCATTATCCCAACGAATGCATAGAGTTAAAATCAGACATATTTAGTTCATTCATTCATTATTGGCTTTGTTTCTATGATAAACAAGCTAGAAAGGAAACAATTGGATTTTGATAAGAACAATTATACTACATAATCACTTCGGCACGCAGCATTCGTAGGTATGCTACGCCCTCAGCTGCCTGCATTATACCTACGAATGCTGCGTGCCTCAGTAATTATCTATTAAATAATTGCTAACAATAATTGTTTTAGTATTTTTAACACAAGTGAATTCAATAAATTGTTGCTTGTGTTGTTGGTGGTGCTGATGGTGTTGTTGTTGCTGCTGCTGCTTGTTGCTCAAACTGTCGCTGTTTTTTTCTATCACTACTGCTGCTTTTAATGTTAAGGCTATTTGCTACAGTCTTAAAATTTGCTGTTTCTCTAACTGTCTTTCTATACAATGTATTGTTTTCCAGTTCGACAAGTCAACACTAATGTTCGTGGATGTCGACATCGGCCAGCTTGATTACTTTATACACGGACTAAGGCGAAAGACACAACGCAAGAAATCTATCTTCAGGAAAAAAGCCCAGTTCTATAAAGCTGTTTCTACACCAGAGAACGAGACGCTACTGTTTCCAGATGACACAGACACAGAATTATGTCGACGTATTGGTATTTGTTTAGCAGAACGACATTAACAACACATCACATATTCTTTCTTTCTTTCTATTTGTCTGTCTGTCTGTCCTCTTTGGCAGGAATATACTATTTAGCCATTCTGAGAACAAGGGGGAAAAACCTGGGACGAGTTATCATTGGAGTGCATTGTGGGAATGTATTTAGGGCACATATTTTTGCCCCTTAAAACAGTCCCACAATACAACACTGCAATCCCAACTCGACTCAGTTTCCCCTCAACCTCGGAATGGCAAATTGTATTATCTATACAAAATATTCTATTTTTGTAAATTAATGAGGACCTTAAAAATATTTCTTTCTAACTGATTCTCTGTTTGTCCTCGTTGGAAAGGAATCTACTATTGTATTATTTATACGAAATATTCTATTTTTGTACATTATATTCTATTTAATAACCTGTTTTATGACTTGTTGTACATAGGTGATTGCATGGGTGTTGTACCTTGCTGTCAATAAACACTTTGATATGAAAAGAAGGGTAGCATCAAATACCTAACAAACCTGTGGGTATGTCCCTTGCTCGAATTGGAATAGACCCCTTTCGAATTCCAAATTTACCGCTGTGTTTCTTGATTACAGACTCATTTGCACAGGGTTAGCCTCGAGTTTGTGCAGAATATTCACGTGTTCCGGTCAAGGTCCGTCGAGTTTCAAAATGTTTGTATTGTTGAAGTTGTGCATTCTTTACTTTTCTGTTGGTATTTGAGAATATTTAAACACTGATAGGAGGCTAACCCTGTGCAAATGAGTCTGTAATCACAGAACACAGCGGTAATTTGGAATTCGAAACTGGTCTATTTAGAACTTGATTTTGGTCGAGTGCTCTCATTGCTATGCCACCCGTGCTCTCCATTGCATTACATGATTATACAAGTCACACAGTGTTTTATTCATGGCTTAAATTATCGACCACTTTTCTATCAAAAAAAAAAAAGCGCTCAAAAGGAGAAAAAAGAAAAGAGAATGATTGATAATCAAAAAAGACACATTTATTCATGTATAAAAAATTGAAATTAAGAGGTGCACTGCCCGATGAACCTCTGAACCTCTGATTGGATGTAAGTTTGTGTAATGGGTGTTTTGCTCAAAGATCAGTAATGTCAATTCTGTACAGCTTCTGTGCCATAAAAAAGCTTATTTTGAATAGGCCTAATCCTGTGTTTTCCTATTTCAGAAGACACATGTATATGATACAACTCAAATGAATAATACTATTCTCAAGAGAAATTTTCTCATGAAATGTGAAAATATTATGCCTAGGTGGATTAGGTCCATTATATTCTTTCCTGTTGATGTCCTAAGAATGTTTCTCTGTTATTTTGAGTTGTTCAGATAATACTAAGCTATCAAAACATCTTCCATATCTTCCGATTGCACGTTACGTCATCGCAGCCTTTCGGGGAGAGTTGGAGCCATTTAATAAGATATTTTTTTAGCATCCATTGTTAACGGCACCAAAATGGCCGCCATGTTTCTGTCTTTTGACCCTCTTGGGAATGCTCGCAACGCATTAAAAGACCTCTTGTAGCACGTCGGAATACAGCTCAATTTGGAGGACAACAATAGGTTTACAATTCTCATGAGATTGAAATTATTTTGTTTTGTCCTCCAAATTAAGCTGCTTTGAAGTCGCATGCAAGGGGTCTATTCTTCAAGACGTATAAGAAGACCATAAAGATGAATGGCCCCTCGCTGAACCGTTGACCATTCTATCTCCTGATTGCTGAATTTCGGGTCAATCTCGTTTTCAGCACCGACGGTCTGTCGACCAACCTCGTAGCTGTCAGGTTCGATCCACAATTGAAAAACAACCTTGGCTTTGTATGTCTTCTTGGTTAGAGAATCCTCGAACCTGTTACAAGTTGGATTAAAGGCGCGATTACACTGAGCAATTTTTTTCTGCAACTTGTCTCGCAACAGTGTTGCGACACAAGTTGCAATAGCGTTTGCACGACGAAAGTGGTACTCAATCGTTGCCAAAAATAGAAACAATTTCTAATTTTCGTAACGATTGCTGAATCTTGTTTCGCAACATTTTTTGTTTCGGCCCTCAGCTACTAAGATCAGTTTTGGTAACCCATAATATTCTGTGAAGCTGTCAATCAGCTGTCATTATTTTCTATCGTATCCAATCACATTCGGCATTCCTATCACTTCATAAATAACGAATGCGGATATGTTTACAATACTTAACGGTAATCTTTTCACCTATCGTCATCAACAAGTGTTTTTATGACGTCCTGTATACCTTTTGTTTTATTTATATACATGATCCGTGATTCGGTAAGTTCATATGCTCGATATCTCAATTATTGTTTTATTTAAATAACAATTTATTGTTTGACATTCTTGTCGAAACAATGCGAGATAGATATTTCATTTGCGACCAACAATTTGGAGTAAAGGATTTGGACATTGTCTTACTCAAGTGCCTGCTATTTCTTCAAGTGAATAAAGAAAAAAWTACAGATGCAGATAAAACTTGTGGTTTCACGAACGAGAGGTCCTTGAAACTTCTACTAGTAAATAACTAGTAAAACTCAGGAACTCGACCACGTATAGTTCGAGTGCTTGAATGACAAAAAACTTCGCCAACAATTCACTAATAATCACTCTATTTTTACTTCGAGGTTCTTTTTTATGGAGATTTTTTATATTTATACAATAAGCAATCTATATCATATTTTTAGGTGCCATCCATTTATGAGTTCATTTTTTCCCATGAAGAAAGCTAAAAATAGAAATCCTAAACATTACTCACTCTCTGGCTGTCGTGATTGGATTGCGCTAAAAGTAAAACAAAGTCACTTGACACAAAAAATGAAAACCGCACACCCCTGAAACTAGGCTTAGCGGGCCGAAACATCATTGCTCTAAGAGCAATATAGCCTTGTTCAAACTGCGCTGTAGGTTACACGCCGCAATGCTCTATGAATCTTATGTCGCATCGCTGTTGCGAGACAAGTTGCAAAGACGATTCCTGTGTGTAATCGCGCTTTAACATTTACTAACAATTGTTTTAGTAAAGCTTTAGACTTGAATATCAAAGAAAAGACGAAATTTAGGATTAAAGCAAAACTCGTTATATTTGATTACTTTCCCGTTGGCAAACATTGGCAAAATTCATGATTACCTCTAGAGCAGTGATTACTGTCTCGTAATCTCAGTTCGCTTGACCAACCGCAGCGTGCGAAACGTCTATGTTCAAGTCTAAAATTGTATTAACGATTGATATACCATGCTACTAGCATGTGATCGGTACCCTAACCTTTGAACATTGTAAAGTACCTCGCCACTCTTATTAGATGTCTAAAATATGTGTATCTTACCTGTTAGGAAGAGCGTAGACATCCATTCCGGAATATCTTATACTTGGTGATACGAAAACCTGTTTAGTATTAAATCCTTCGGGTTTCCAATTATCATTGAAGTGACCATCCATTTCGGAAAGTTTTGTCCCTCCACGAGCCGTGTCACCTGATAGATTGAAATAAAGTTGGTGGTATTGCAAGATGAGATGGAATTGCAAGGTGAAGCGGAATTGCATGATGAGGTGGGATTGCAAGATGAGNATTGCAAGATGAGATGGAATTGCAAGGTGAAGCGGAATTGCATGATGAGGTGGGATTGCAAGATGAGGTGGGATTGCAAGGTGATGTGGAATTGCAAGGCGATGAGGGATTGCAAAATGAGGTGGGATTGCAAGGTGAGGTGGGATTGCAAGGTGAGATCGAATTGCAAGGCGAGATGGAATTGCAAGGTGAGGTGGAATTGCAAGATGAGGTGGGATTGGAAGGTGAGGAGGCATTGCAAGGTGATGTGGGATTGCAAGGTGATGTGGGATTGCAAGGTGAGGTGAGATTGCAAGATGATGTGGAATTGCAAGGCGATGAAGGATTGCAAAATGAGGTGGGATTGCAAGGTGATGTGGGATTGCAGGGTGAGGTGGGATTGCAAGATGAAACTAAAGTAAGGAAAAGTAGTAGATAGAAAGTGCGGATTAGTATGCCTACCTGGAATCAGAAGTTGTCCACACTCGAGAATTTGTTTCACCCTATTTGGATGTGTACCATGGTAAGCGACGTGCCAGTCGGTGTCAGCTTTATGTGCCATCGCCTGAGGCGCAACTCTGTTAATAACACAACGCTTAGCGGCTTGCCAGCCGTTTAATTATAGCATAAAACTATATTTAAGGGGATATTTAGTTCCTTATTTTTTTTTTTTTCTTTTTCTGAAAGCCTAAAAAACATATAGCGTATACTTACTTGAGGCCAAAGCGACTCCATCCTTCTGGTATAGCGTACTGTTTAGCAGGGTCGCCTTGCACTCCATAAAGTTCCTCGTTGCGTGATGCGTGACATTCTGTGCAGTAGCATTTGTTGTATTTAGGTTCAAATAACTCATCTGCAATGAATGACACATATAGTTTTTTACCGGCCAGAAGGTTCGGATAGCGAAAAAAGTATACGTATATGTATATATACCTATGGCTCGTTCTCAAGGCTGAGGGCGTAGTTTTTTCCTATCTCGACCAAACTTTAGGAAGGTAAATAAATTATCTATTTAATTATCTATTTAAGTTTTCCCCATTACTGTGTTACTACGCCAACCAAGGCCACCCAGACGAATTTCCATACAAATTWGCCAATCACGATTGAGTATTTAAAGAATATAGTCTGTACAATTTTTCACATTTTGCTCTTTGAAATCGTATATTTTACTTTATACGTGTGTATGCATGATCATGAGTGAACATGGAACAGTTTAAAATCCAGTATTCATTAATTCATCTGTTCGTGACTTGTGAATTTGAATTATATTTGTTTGGGTGGCCTTCGGTTGATGTAGTCGCACGTAACTATTTCGACTTCTTTTTATAATCAAGTTTTGTTGTTTAGCATCCGGTAAACCAGGTAACCACACTTTGGTCAGAGATAGAAAATACCACCTACTCTATAAGGCAATCAGAATGCGTTTACTGACTGGGGGAAAAATCATTTTGCCAGACAGTTTCAGTTAAGCCTTTCATTTTTTWTTTTTATTCCTTGATTTCATCAGATTTTAAAATCTACTCCAGTTTCTCCCATTTCTTTCTATTTACCAAGTTTAACCATTCTTACCAGGAACTTCCAGTTCTACCAGGAATGCAGCACAAGCTTGTTGATATTCACAATAATTCCTTTGAAGGCCTAATGATATAGATATAAAAGTTAAGAAATAGAGACAAAAAAACAACAACAAACAAACAAAAACAAACGAACAAAACAAACAACAACAAAAAACAAAAAGAAATTATATATTTTTAATGAAAGAAGGGATAGAAACTAATGTAACACATGTGAATCAAGCAAATGTTTGTCGAACCACGCTATAGAATATAACGTTCACCCTCATGATTGTCCAAGCGCGTTATAGATTGTCAATGATTATGCTAATAGCACTAATGAATTTTCACTTTTGGGTAAATGATTGTCCATAAATGCAATTGTTTGTCAATTTGGTTTAATTGAAGTTGAATTTCTCGCACAAGAAAATACAATTCGCGCATATGAATGTACAAACGCGCTATTGATTGTCCATTGATGCCTATGAATGTACACGCATATTCAATTATCGTTATTGAAAGTTGATCCGCGCTAATGATGTTACTTTTGGTGTTGATGAAAGTACATTACACGTTATTGATACAACTATTGGCACACATGAATGTACATTTTCTGTTAATGAACAGCAAAAGGTGTAAAGTTACACCACAATGCACTATGTTTGTTATTTCATCATGTTTTAAATACAAGATGTACAAAAATTCATCCATTTGAATAAGAAAAGATTCCTGACATCAATGTTTGTAAACTGTGAATATGGCTATAGACCAAAATGATTTGTGGTACTTTATTAATATCAAAAATTATGACTACCTAGGGAAAACTTAAATATCCTTGAATATAAGGTAATAATTAAATAAATATTGCAAAGCCTCTTTAATTTATTCCTCCTTTTTATATTTCCCAAAAAATACAAACAATGCAAATATCTTTATTTCGGAGTCTTATTGTACACATATTCTTTCATTAAATACGTTTTCAGCTTTTAATAGTAATAGACGTATTCCATTGCCTTAGTGTGCAAATCATAAATCTGTAAAAACTTAACTTTTTCGCGGATATATAGTATGCACTCTACCTAGTTTACCGCAGCTTTACAGTTTGTCCTCAGCTGCGATTTGTATTCTTTCTAATCTCCGTGTAAACGGTATTTACTGATCAAATTTTTGAGCGGTTCGTTGTATGACCAATGTCAATAGAGAGCAACAAGATTTTATCGTTTTGCCTATCTAACCACAGGCAGTCCAAGCTGTATTATGGGCGCCGTCACGTGATGGTGCAAAGCGAACACGAACTAGAACAACAACTGGATGAGGTCAAACAAAATGTTTTATACGTAATACGGCATTTTAGTCCCGAATTATAAAAAAAATAATCCAAAAGTCTACAAATGTCAAACGAGAGCATATCATCTCACGCTAGGTCCTCAGAAAAGTACTTAAACTTAGGCCTTTTAAGGCTTAAAAATATTTAAAATATTATCAAAAATATTAAAAATTTCAATTGATTCGATCTTCTCGTCAACAGGGTGGCAAAAGCCAGAGTTTCAAACGTTTTCCTTTTACCATTCCAAGGATTTTGCCTTTTCTATTTGACCATCTTCTTTGAATTTTTGAAATCGCTTAGCAGCAAACTCGAAGGCCTCCATTTCAGCGAGCTCGTTGCACTTAAAGAAAATAAAATCAAGGCCGCGTAGTGCGATTAATTCCTCATGACACGAGCGATATGAACTTAACTCTATTTTAAGTTTGGTACACACACGTTGATATACTCTCAGGCTTTCTTCACAACAGTCACAAAACATTTCTTCGCTTAAATTTAAAGAAATAACAGGTAAAATTCTGGTGAATATTCTTGACAAAATTGCGAAGATGTCATTCTGTAGCTGGGTCAGAATGTGGTCGTCTTGCAGTAAAGTGTACAGGTACTGGAAGAGGAGCATCACTGTTGTACTTTGCTCTGCTGCTCCCAAAACTGGAGGCGATGGTAGTGTTAGAGGATTCCCCGCTGCAATTTGATGTGTACAATAAATTTTTAAAATATGCTTGTGGTCGTCAAGATGTTGCAGCTCATCAGATGTTCCAATAATAGCAGCAGACAGCGAATCAACCAAGGAATTCAAGATGTAACAAAGATAAAGTTTATTTCCTGCTGTACCAGTTTGACAAAACATCTCTAATTCACAATTAACAAGCCTTAAAACTGGGAAATAATCATTATCAAAGTCCAGCACAGTTTCATAGGCAGTTTGGAAAACTCTGTGCAATGTTGCAGGAATGTCTTCGAGAGATGCTGCAATTCCATTTGCCACAGAAACRAGACCTTGATGACTAATGTGACTCACCATGTTGTTCTCTGGAATGAAGTAGTTTGGGATGTTGCCTCTTAACAAATGATCAACAAAGCTTTCTAGCAATTCAACTGCTGAATTAAGAATGTTGTTCCACTCTTCTAATTTCTTTTCTTCGCATTTCCATAACAGAATGGTTTTCAAGTGATAGGAAGATGGTGTTTTCTCAAGGAAAGCGTTGTTCTTTATTTCCTGGATGACCTCTTTCATGATCAACTTTGCGACAATGTAACTTTGACGTTGTTCCTTTGATAGAGAATTCACAAGCATTTTCTCGGCCAAAGAAAAAGAAAGCCGCCATTCAGTATTGTATGAAGTACTGTCATGATGAGATACGGGCACAACGTGACATCCTTTGCTTAAGATATCTGAAATCAAGTCTTTACTAGGCCACCCCATTGTCCTGCTCCTTTCAGACCAGTTGTTTGCTATTGATGGCCATTCAGGGCACTGCAAACATGGGACGTAATCATGAGCATAGTTGTTTCTACTATTAGGGCGATCCCGTCTGTTGAGTGCAGGTCCCGTAGCAAGAACACCACCAGATGGAAGTTGAGGTCCGCTCACGAGAGAATATAGTGCAGTTTTGTTAACGATCTCACGCCAGAACTCTTTAAAATTGTCTGTTGACAAGAAAGCTGACTTTCCTTCTTTTTGAGGTTCATAGCGGAGCTGGACGTAGCCCGGACGATCGGTTGTCTCAAGAAAAAGATCCTTTTGTGTATATTCTCGTTTCTCTGCTGAATCGATAGAATGCCCGGAGTTATTCTCGTTTCCAGACCCATTTTGTAATGATTCCGGATCAGTAGAATCCCCGTCAGCAGAATCATCGTTAGTAGAATCCCCGTCAGTAGAATCATCGTAATCGTTAGAATCCCCGGCAATAGAATCTCCAGCACAACCCTCAGAGTCCCCAGAGTCCCCAGTAGAATCCTCAGAATCCCCGGCGCTCCTCTCGCTTCCAGACTCATTTTGTAATGAGCCCGGATCAGTAGAATCTCCGGGAGTAGAATCCCCAGTAGGATCCTCAGACTCCCTAGAATCCCCATTAATGTTCCAGGCAAATTCCTCGGAACTCCTCTCGCTTCCAGACCCATTTTGTAACGAACCAGTAGCAGACATTTCCGTATCCAGGAGTGGAACATCTTTTTGGTCGTAGCACTTTTGATCCATAGGATGAGACAATTCTGCCGTCGAGAAATGGTTATTATCATGTACTACTGCAGCAAAATCGTTAAAGCCTACTGAACTGTTAACTGCTTTCCTCTCTACGACTTTCATCGAAAAATCCACAAGCATAATGTCGATATCATTTTTTGCTTCCCGTCTGCCGTCCTCGTATACCCAGTGAGTCGCAAATAAACTTTCAGCCATGCTTCCAGACATTAGAAGCTCAACATATCTTCCACTTTCGCCTTTTAGTTGTTCCTCAAAAGTTTTGTACCGTTTTAAAGAATTGATGTACAGTTTGTAATTATGTTCCGTTTCTCTTGGATTCAAGATGGATTTTACAACTGCCTTAAAAGCCCCGTTTCTCCACACTTGATCTTGCTGTGTTGTTGATCTTGCTTGTTCCATGACTGAAGAAACGAAGCCCCAAAAACTAAGGTTGTAAGCACAAACAAATATTTAAATATTTTCAAGTCAGTTTCAGCGGTGATCGTCGCTTAAACGAGGGTATCGCATTGTCTGATGCCACGTAGATACCAATTTGATCAACATATGTGGATAACCAGAGGAGTTCTCGTTTAGATTCAGCGTTCAAGGATCGATTTTACGTTCTAAATTGGTAGAATATATAGCTTGTAGTCTTTTACAGATGGTAACCCAGGCGAATAGCATTTAATATTCCTGTTTAGATATTATGATCACGGACCAATGACGCAAATCATACATGCTGACTTCATGACCTTATTTATTTTGTGTTCCTATCACAGAGCTTGTAGCTTAAGCATGTAAATTATTCATTGCTCCTAGACAGAAACAAATTTGCCTACCGTACGAATAGCAAATTTATATCTTTCATCGCTGTGCACACAGCAAATTAGAAAAATAACTTATCTGACAAAAAAATAAATAAATAAAATAAATAAATGAATAAATATTTTTAGATATATAGGTTCTTTATATTGATAATAATTATATTTATTATATTTTCTTATTTTATATTTATATATAACTGCTTTTATAGAAAGCAAATTTGTAATTTGATGAAATTCCGTTTCTAAATAAAGTACATTCATTTGAAATGAAATACACAAAGTGCCGACGAGAGTACAAGTAAAAGAAACGCTTTAGTTTTCCTACCTCGCCGGTCTATTTAACTGTATATTGAAGGTAAATTTGATTAACTTATTAAAGAAAGTAATCGCGAACGAAGCGATGCCGGCGCTGTATGGCACGAATAGTACAGTGGGAAATAATCATAGTGTCTGGCTCTTGTTTTTAATCAGAGCTTTTTTTCAAGAATATTTCGACCTAAGAGTCTCTAAGAGTGAGTATAAGCCATAAGAATTGATCGGTGTTTATGCTACAATCGGGAACTCATTGATTCAACGGCTCAAACAAATTCCAAATCGGCTGGAATTTAGTACAGACAAAGATAAAGGAAACTTCGTGTACCGTTCGTAGGCAGACGACGTCAAACGACGTCAGACGATTAGATCTAGGATGATATGGATCTGCCAACGCCATAGCGAGTGAGTGGCACATATGCATATTAGTCGTCTTTGGTCTTTATAAGTGATTTCAAGCCATTCTAGCAAATCTTTTGAAATGTCCACTTCCCCACAGGGGGGGGGGGGGGGGTAATCACTTCTAAAGACAAAGGGCAGCGTAAATCTCGTCAGCCACACCTTGGTATTTTTGTTATATTTTTCCACTTCTCTTCGTTACCCTTTTCATGTTTTGCTTTTTAATGCAGTTTCTACTATCATTTATATTAGATCATAAATGTTAAATGAAATACAATGCACTATGGTTGCTATCTCAGAAACGGTCTATTGTAAGCCCRCAAATGAAAGTAAATACAGCGATCCCGCATTCGTTGTTCTACCTCCATAGTTACTGTTGCTAAGCTAGACGAGCTAAATTATGTTTTTGATATATAGCATGGAACAGATACCGATCGCTAAAAATTGTAAATGTGTGTCATAGAGTCAAAGCATTCTAAAGGTACATTAAGAAACACATTCCTTCCAAAAAATCTTAAGAATTCGAGTTTGTTGGTCAGGCATTCTGTATTCCATTATTGGGAAAACGACCAATTCTTTAGATGGGCATTCAAGCATAGCCGGGATCGGTTTATTCCTTATCAAAGAGGCTTATCATTATCCCTGGCCCTTCAAAACCAGGTCTTTCCTTGCTAATATTGAATGGAATTGATGTCTTACCTTGCGTGGGGCCATACGTAATTCTCAATAACACCCTTTTTGCTGCAGCGCCTATATACTTGTCTGAGCTGCCACCCAGACTTTCAAGAGTTTCTATCAACTGTGAATAACCCTGCATCATCGTTCTACAAGAGTCTGTCTTAGAGAGTTCCCATAATGCATTAAGGGCACACTCTGATTCCATTGATTGACATTCGTAGTAATTGATTACTTCCATAAGCAGAGGGATAGCACCTAATGTAATAAGACTATCGGCATTCTCCTTATGTCTGGATATAACAGCAATACCCTTTATGACTTCAAACACTGACCAGGATGCACTTTCTGATAGAATTTCAGAATCGCTAATACGATCATTTAGGACCTCAATTAACTTAGCAATCGTCTACGAAAAAAATATGAAATAAAATAAAAAAGGGAAAGCAAGAAAGGAAGACGTATTCTCAATGACTGATAAATAATCAATGAAAATACTATTTTTTTAGGGCTTTAATATAAAAGATTGCACTGATCCTTTGTCATGTAGAAAAAGAGAAAGAGAAGGAAGACAATATTCTAAAAGGGAGG